TGGACAGTGTACAGTGGACTTTAGAACTGGGCTGATATGCTCTGTCTTCATTGTTTTAGTCAAAACATGAGCAGCAGCATTCTGGATCAGCTGCAGCTGCAGTCTGATGGATTTTTTTAGGCAGACCTGTGCAGACACTGTTACAGTAATCAATGTGACTAAAGATAAAGGCAYGGACATTAGTCCTTTAATCCTGGAAAGTTCAGGGCATTGTTTAAACGTTTCAAAAAATGTATGTTGAAAAGAAGCTCTAACACTTTTTAAATGATTATAAAACTTAATAGAAAGATTGCCAATATTACTGTAAGTAACTTTTTGTGTAAATTAAGGGTTAGGGTTGCATTTTTTATTAATATTATTATCAGTTTGGGCAAAATAATCGATGAATAGAGGAATTCTCAATTATGTCAAATGACATGGATTTTTTTAAGTTTTAAGTTTTTGCCAGTACTATGACAAAAGAACATCACTGACTGTCCCAGTGCAAGTAATGTTTATGTAAAGAATTATCTAAATATGTATTTATATATTTATTATCTAAACTCTCATGAACCTGCATCCTGATATTAAGGCTATTTGTTTTTGACTGGTTGTCTTTATTCATGGGGGACTAGATTTTAGGTTTCCTTTATTCATTTAAAGTAAACTAAATATTTATATTTTAAACTCCCTGCCTCTTACACAGTGACTATTGGGTATGGGCACCAGGGACCCCCATGACCCTGAAAAAAAGCAGTTAAAAATAATGGATGGATTTTTAACTTAGTTTTTCAAAAAATGCATTTATAAGGTTTCTAATAATTCTAATAATGAGTAAAAAACAAAAGTTTGAGACTCAAGAGGATAAAACTGGTAGGACCACCATTTTTTAGGGGTTGGGGTGGGGGGCATTGCCCCTCATGGCCACCCCTGCTTGATGCGCCCCTGGTGAATGACAGGTTATGTTCCACAGAGGAATGACAGTTTGAGCAGCAGCAACGTGCATCTCTGTGTTAGATGTCAGAAACAAACAGATTTAGTCTATGTGGCTCTAGTAGAGACAAAACATTTSTAATTTGTGACAGTTGAGTTATTAATAAGCGCCACAGTCTGCCTGCTGTTAGTATTTCTACATTCTCTGAAACCCTCAGTTACAACAGAAAGCTTGTGAAACTAAATTGATTAATTAATTAATTAAAGTCTGATGCTGCAGAAGTAAGCTAGTGATATTAAAAAAAGAAAAAGTCATTTGACAAACTATTACTTATCCAATCACTTTCTTTATGAAGAAACKTATACACAGTATTCATCCAATCAGTTATGGTCCTTGAGAAACATATTTCTTTGAAAATGCATACTTCATCTGCAGACATGAACTCAGGGGGAAAAGGGGAGGGGAATTCCATCTTGACAAAACMCATGGTTCCACCAACATGACATAATGACGTATGATGACACGTGATATTTCTGTACATGATGACATAACTCGTTCAAWATTAAACAACTCCTTTGAACAGCTCTATGAAACAAAAAGCTCCCCATTTATCCCATCTCTATCTTACTGGGGTTTTAGTGAAAAGATACTCTGCAACTCTGACTACTCAAACATGCATTTTTAATTTGCCAAATTCTTGAAAACATGATTTTTTTCCAGAAAAAAAAGGTATAATATATTATTAGATTTTTTATAACATTTTATAATTATCATTTTTGCCCCTTTGCTGGCTAGAACATTTGGATCCAGTTAGAATTGTACTATACTGTATGTTTGTGTTGATACATTATATTTAAAATGTTTAGCATACTGTAAATGTAAATAGGTTTTAAGGGCATGTTTTGGAGACAGATGAAGCCATTTTCTCATCCTAAGTGAGCAAGAATATATATTACCTCACCTCATATTCAGCTGTGTATTCCATCACATCTTGTTGGTGTTTATTTATAAAACACTTTACTGTGGATCCTCAGTGCACTATTATGAAGTACTGCTGCATGCAAATAATGTTTAAAATGAAACAGCAAAAATGCTGAGCAGTTCCTTACCCCACCTTGCTGACCACATTGTAGTTCAAATCTGAATGTTTAGAACAAAGTTTACACATATGTTTATGGTTATGGCTTTATTTAGATTAAATTGTTGGACTTTAAACTGGCAGCACCAAGGCTTAGTTGTTAACTCTGTTGCCTTGCAGATGAAAGGTTCTGGGTTCAAACCCCAATTTAGACCTGGGGAATTTCTCTGTTGAGTTTGCATATTTAAACATCTTGTATACAGATGAGATCAAGATAAAGCTTTTTTTTGATCAAACRTTATTCTACTGTTTATCAAAAACATAATGAGGACTGCAAATACAAGAACACAGTAAGTCAAATGTGATGAAATTACAAAGATGTTTTGGGGTTATTTTGTTGCCTCTGGCACTGAGTGGCCTGACTGTGTACAATGAATTATAAAATGTGAAGATTACCTAAGTATTTTGGTTCACAATAGGCTCAAAGTCAGACATCTGGGTTTGYGTCCTAGGTCATGGGTTTTCCAGCAGGACAATGACCCCAAACATACATCAGAAAGCACACAGACAGGGAAGGAATCAAAGTGCAGGAGAGTGCTAAAGAGGCCAGCAATGGCTTTGGATTAAAATGTCAATGAACACCTGTGGACAGAWCTTACATCATCTGATTTAGGATCAACTTTAAGGTGAAATTTGAAGGCATCCTTCAATTATTGACCTGAAACAGTTTGCAAAAGAACAGTGGTCCAAAATTCMAGTTGAGAAGTGAAATAAGCTTTTCAAGTGTTATATGAAGTGAYTGATTTCAGTAATTTTTGCAAAAAGGTGTAAAGCCAAATAAGGTGAGGGTGCCAATAGTATTTAACATATATATATATTTTTTTAGTTTTGCGTGAAATTATACTAGAATGGCTTTTTCTCTCTTCAGATATACAGTACATATTTATTTTTATTTTTTATTGAAGTCAGCATTTTTAGAAGATTACTACTTATGGTTTGTGTGTTTTTTTTTTCCTCATTTTGTGCTTCCAGTATTCTGCTTCCTGTTTAGTTCAAAGCTTTTAAAATTATTCATAAGAATCAATAAGTTTCAAGCATGGCAGTGTTTTGCCTTAAAATGCATTCAAAAGTTTGTTCCATTCAGATATTCTAGCCTTCACAGTCACATTCCTCAACACTTCTTTCAAACAGAAGTGAAAAGTTTGTCCTTGGTTGGGGGTCAGCATCAACAAGGTTTCATTTACAGTAATTGTTCATTTTCTAATGCATCCTGTAAACAGACATGCTGCTTGAATAGAGAATGTAGCAAACAAAGAACTCTGATCTTGAGAAGTTGAAAAAGTAAGAAAACAAGCAAACAAACAAAAAAATAAAATAAACAGGCATAATTTTAAAATGGCAAAATAAAAAAAAATAAACACTCAAAAATAATTTTGGAATTCATTTAAAACTTAACTTAGCTTATGACTCAATTTCCTCACATCATCTTTACCTGCTTAATGTATTTTTTGGACTATAAGGCACACTTAAAATCCTCAAACAATTTCAAAAATAGACAGTGCGCTTTTGATCCAGTGTAATAATTATTATATAATAATTAACTATGTAATAATTTTGACCCAGCATAGGTATAACACAGGTATGGGGATGGTGCGATTCCGGTACTTTGCAAGCACACATCCTCACGCCGCCTTCWGTGCATCAACTATATAACAGGTTTTACAGTTACTGTACCATAGTCAGAAGCACAGGCATATACCATAGGTACACTCCCTATGGCCTGATGCTGCCTGTTGGTGATGATGCATTGCAKTCACCCGCCAAAAGGTACCGCTATCTACCAATGATATCTGTGGTCACGGAGTAATACGTACTGTGCTTCAGCAATGTTTGTGTAGAAGGACCTCAGAATGGCGCCTATTAAGAAACATTCTTACGAAGCGGATTTCCAGACTCGCTTGGCGTCCACGTCAAGCCGTAGAAAAAGGCAAAGCCTCTACTGGAACCCGGTCTTCAAAATAAAACTTCTGGCTGRAGAGTTTCCTGAAGTTGGATGAACCAGGCGTTGGTCATCCACACTGTGAGGTTTCCCCAGTAGCGTGAAGGGGCCAAAACCTGACACAATTTTCAGCTTTTGACTCTGAGACTCTAGTTGTCAGAGTGACTGACGGYGGTCCGTCACCTACTGYCGTCCGGGTGGAAAATGTTAYTTACTAAGAAGCTTAGATAATCTAAGTTCYGCCCTCCGGAAGGTAAGATAAGAAAAKAAGTTATCAAGGAAAGTGTCAGATTCAGAACTTGCCGTCACCTCCTKAAACTAAACAAAGAGAAATGTTGCTTTGTGGTTCAGAACAAGAACATTTCATGACCTATATTAATTTTCATCTGATGAGGAGTCATTTAAAACATAACTGAAAGAAAAAAATGAATTGCTTCAAGTTCAAAAACATTTGCAAATATG